TTTTATTATTATTCTCAGCTCCCTAATCATCATGGCCTTCTTATATCAGATCCATTGCCATTTAAGGATCTGGGTACTAAAGATCTTCCTATTTTTATAGTTCGCAATTAGCTGTGGTTAATTAACAATCATAATCCTAACTCAGTTTTCGTCCTCTGTTGGACTTGAACCAGCAACCTTGTGATTGGTGACCTTGGAGCATAACCACTTTGCTATCAACCCACAGGTCCTATATTTATTTATTATTAATTGTATTTCTTATATAAATTATATTGATTATATTTTATTTATATATTGTATAAATTATATATTTTGTACATTTTATTTATTTTGTCTATATTATATATTTTATTTATATTATAAAATTTTTATATTTATTATATTATATTTAATAAATACTTTTATTATATTTAATTTTATATTTTAATAATTTATTATATAATTAAATAATTAAAACAACTTTCAGATCTGAGATCCAAATTAATTAAAATTTATTTTAAAAGTATATCTGAACCTAAGATTAAAATTAATTAAAATTGATTTCTGAAGCAATACTTAGACCTAATATTTAAATTAATTAATATTTATTTTAAAAATCAGATCTAAGTCTAAAATTAAGATTTATTTTAAAAATAACACCTAGGTCTAAGATTAAAATTAGTTAAAATCTATTTTCAGAGCAATGCTCAGGCTCAATATCTAGAAGAGTTAAGATTTATTTCTAAAATAATATCTTAATCTAAGACTTAGATTAGTTAAAATTTATTTCTAAAACAACTTTCAAAGCAAAGATCTAAATTAATTAAGATTTATTCTTAAAGCAACATTCAGATCTAAAATTTAAATTATTTAAAATCTATTTCTGAAGTAATGCATATGTCTAACAACTAAAATAGATAAGATTTATTTTTAAAATAACATCTAAATCTAAGACTTAGATTAGTTAAAAATTATTTCTAAAATAACTTTTAAATCAAAGATCTAAATTAATTAAAATCTATTTTTGAAGCAATGCCTGGGCCTGAGATCTAGATTAATTAAGATCTATTTCTAAAGAAATGTCCAGGCCTGAGATTTAGATTAAATAAGGTCTATTCTTAGAACAATGCTCAGGCCTGAGATCTAGATTAATTAAAGTCTATTTTCAGAGCAATGCCCAGGTCTGAAACCTAGTTCTAAAGGGTATATTATGCTATATGCAAGAATTAATAACTTATATAGTAGGTTATATTTTAATTATTATATGAATTTTAATTCTTATATATATTTGTATAATTTTACCAACTCAACAATTTTGCATTTTGCTTAGTAAGATTAGTAATTTATGCAATTAATTATCAGAATATATCTCACAATTCAGGATATAAAAATATACCTTACTATTTGGATTTTGTTGCATATATGTATAACTTATATTGTATAATATATACAATTAAGTAATAAGGTTATGTAATCTAGAATTTTCTAGAAAATCAACATTCTAAATTTTTAAGAAAATTTAGCAAGTTACATGAAAATTAAAGTTATATAATATTATAATATTTAATAAATATTATATTATTTTAATATTTTAATAAACTATTGAATAAATTATTATAACTAAATTTTATAAATAAATATTATAACTAAATTTTATAATTAATTAAATATTATTTTTAAAATAACATTTAAGCTAAGGTTTAGATTGATTAAAATTTATTTTTAAAGCAACATTCAAACTAAGATTTAGATTAGTTAAAATTTATTTTTAAAACAACATTTGAGCTAAAATTTAGATAAGTAAGATTAATTTTAGTAACAATACTCAGATCTAAAACTTAATTTAGTTAAAATTTATTTAGTTAAAATTTATTTTTAAAATAACATTTAAATAAAATTTAAATTAGTTAAAATCTATTCTTAAAGCAATACTTAGACCTGAAATCTAAATTAATTAAAATCTATTTTTAGAGCAATGTCTGAATTTGAGATCTAAATTAATTAAGGTCTATTTCTAAAGCAATGCTTAGGCCTAAGATCTAAATTAATTAAGGTCTATTCCCAGAGCAATGCCTGAGCCTAAAACCTAGTCAAAAAAAGAATCTTATATTATGTGCATTATGGTATGCATAAATTTGTATAATAAATATGAAAATTGATTTAGTATTTACATTTTAGTATTTAATTTTTATTTAAATTTTAATTTTTGCTTAAACATAACATATATAGCAAAATATACAACTTATATACAGTACATACATACATGCTCCTCTATTTCTATCTACCTATTGAAAATTACAATTTAATCACCTGCCAGCTTTGAAAAATTGCAATTTACCTATCTACTCGTCTTTTAAAAATTGCAATAGCCTACTTTTGATGGCATTACTAATACTGATAAGAGGATGTTCAGAATTATGCTATATATATAATTGATCATTATTTTCACTTAGTATATGCTTTGCAGAATTGAGCAAAAAAAAGTTATTCAGAGTGGCTTTAATATGATCAGTAGATATAATATTTTAAGATATGATAACTAAAGCAGAAAAGTATTCTGCAAAGGTCTAATATAAAAAATGGATAAACTCAAAATATGAGCAAGATTGAAACAATTTTTAGAATAATTCTAAAGACAGTAAACATTAATAACACAATAAAGATTATATAATTTATTTATTGCTATTATCATAATTTTTGGAACAACTTACAAAGTTATCCAAATAATTTTTTGACAAAATTAACTAAGTTAGTAATTTGTAGCATTATTGATTTATAAATTATATAAATTATAATTTATATTACATATAGATTATATTGTAATTTGTTATATATATTTTTGCTCAAACTAAACATGTCCTAAATATGTCAAGTAAGTGTTATATATTTGCATATATACAATTTTATTGAATTTGTTATTTCAAAATTAAAAACTTAACAGAATTAGCCAAAAAGCCATTCAGCAAATTTTATCAGATGTTTCAGGAATTACAATGATAGCAATAAAAATTTCATATAATCTTAGTTTTATTTCACATTTATCACATTAGAAATATAAACATATGACATTTGAATTTACATATTATAATACTGGAATGTCATAATTAATCATATAAAAAATACATAAAATACAATAAGTTACATTGGTGATCAAGAATAATATTCAGATGTAAAGGTTAGAGTAGAAGGTGTAAGGATAAAGTATACATCTTTAAATAAATAAAACATTACTAGAAAAATTAAATAAGTAATTGTAAATAATATTAGATAGACTTAAAGTAATAATAAGTATAAAGTTGTATTTGTAAGTAATGAATTCAGTAATATAAATAAAGGCCAAAATGGCCCTTAGGAGCAGTATGCTTTATTTGCTTTATTAAATAATAAATTCCAATATATTACATGATGCAAATAAACACTAACATTATTACTATTATGAATCCTATAAACTTTTATAATCACTGTTGTTTGTTCAGACCCTTGCCTATATGACTTACCCAACTTGTATTTGTTAATTCAAATTAACTAAAAGTTTTAATTACCCATTATTCAAATCTAACATCATCTTTTGAAAAGATTACTTATCATACATTATATAACATTTTGAATTGTGAAGCAACAGAGTTACAATCTTTTGAATTTAACAATTATTCTTGCTCAGATTTCTTTATTAAAATGATGAAGATATATGCTGAGAGTAGCTTCCTACTTTATTACATTTCTTTTTGTTAGAACATAATTGTTTTATATAAAATCACTTTGCAGCTAATTATGTGAGCATAATTACATAACAAAGCATAAATGAGCATTGAAGACAAAAACATATGCTAGTGCAGCATATTTTACTATTTTTTTTTTGTATAAGCCCATGCTAGAGTGCAGTGCATTTTACATATTTGTTTAGCAACAAGTATAAACCATGTTAAGGCATAGTACATTTTTCATCTTTGTTTAATTTTTGTAGCAAGTACAGGTCTATGCTAAGGTGTAATGCATTCTACTTGTTACAATACAACAATGGGGTGTAAGTGCAATGGTAGAAAGAGAGGAAAGGGTTAAACATAAAAGAGCCAGATTGTAATCAGGCAATAAAGAGAACAAGTAACAATACAAATAAAATAATAAAGCACTACTGCCTTATAATTTGCTACTGCAAGCTTCATTAGGTTTTTTGTCAGTATCTGAATATTGAAGTTTGTAATAGGGCTTTGAAATTTTATTTTTGGTAAAAATGACTAATTGCATTCAAATACATTCATAGTTTTATTGATCATAACAGTATGTCTGCCTATATCAAGAATGCTAAAATAGACTTGAGATAGCTAAACACAGAATTATAACATGAAAATCACAGAATATAGCAAACTTATCTTACAACTTTTAGAGATGTTTTTTATATACTGAGCCTGTAACAAATATTCATATGCTTTCTTTAGCAATATGCTCAGAAATGAATTTTAGCTATCTAAAAGCTTTAGCTAGAGTTTTTCCATGTTTCTGAAATTAAGTTTCCCTCTGGATTTGGTTTAAAACTTATAGTAGCACTGGAAAGATCCATGGATTTTACCTCCTGTTGAAGAAAAATTGGCTACCATAGTGCTAAGATCCATACTAAAATAATAATTATTATTTGTGCATAGAACTGTATTTTATATTCAAATACTTTGTAAATTAGGCCCAGAAAGAACAAATATAGTTGCTCTTGTTTTCCTAATTTTGGGTAAAACAGTTAATTGCTTCTGTCTTTAGGCAGTAAAAATAACTATTGAATTAGGCTATCTTTCTTGTATGATAGCTTGCCATTTTGTCTATAATAAAGGGCCCCCATTTTTTGTTTATTTCTATAAACAAATCTTGAGAGAGTCACCAATCTGATTTATCAATGAATCTTATCAACTTGTCTGCAAGATTTAGAGCTAATAGGACTTATCAGAACTTATGAATCTTTATATCATGCTGGTCACAGAGGTTTCACATTTCTTACATTATTTTTTTCTGCCAGAACCTCTTTTCTTCAGCTTCTACAATTCTTGAGCTACCCAGTTGTCTATAAAAACTGTGACCTATTAGTGTGCAATTGCTAATATAAATGATTCAAGACCTAATAATACTGGCATTGACTTCAACAATGTGATGTTTATGCACTTGTGTTTGTACATTCAATTTTTAAAGGCTTTTTCCTGCTTCAAAGTTGCTAATCACCTGATTGTGAATGCATCCATATATATCAGAATTATTTGCAATAGTTTTTATACCTGTCTTGTATTCTTCTTTTTCAGTTTTCTAGTATCTAAGAAACATTAGTAACTGATTGCTATGTTAATTGAATAGGTTGTTTGACTTTTATAACTTTCTGTTTTCTGCATTAATAATTGTATAAAGCTCCAAACAACAAACCTTTGAATATATAAACATCTGACTCAGACTTATTAATTTTTCCATTATAAAGAAAAGGTGACAAGCTGTTAATATTTTTGCTATTAGTAGTCTTTTCAATGCCTGCAATATGCTGTTTATTTTTGAATCTGGTGCTGTTACTATTCCTAATATTATATCTAAAACAATTTCATAAAACTTCAGCTGTTGTATAGGTTTAAGATGGCTTTTTTTTGTTAGGACAAACTCACAATTTTTTAAATCTGGAAGTACTATTGAGTCTTTTAGTTGTATCAATACATTTGGTAAGAATGTGCTATTTAAATATCATCTACATAGTTTTTATAAACAATGCCACAAGTCTTTTAGTAGTCTATTAATGCTTTCATAATTTTGAAGAAAATTCATACAGCCTGGCTTAGCCTAAATGATAAAATCTGAAATAATACCAAGTGTTCTTGATTTTGAACTCCAATAATCTTTGTGCATTTATATTCATTAGCATATAGTGGTAGATCTAGCACAATTACCTACCAATTTCATCTCACTAAATTTTGAATCCTTTGAACTTGAATAATTTTTCTGCTAATGTTGCATTTAGTCATTTAAGGTCAATTACTAAACATTATCTTTTTGGGTCCATTTTTGAAGCCAGGAATATAGGGCTTACCACTAGCAAGTGTTCTGGTCTTTGTTTCAATTGTGCTACTAATACAATTACATTTATTCTTAAAAGTCTTTCTATTTCTAGATTTAATTAAGAATTTTGATTCTTTATTAATAAGTATTGAGGTGGGTTTTAAGACATTATTAATGCTAACAATTCTTTAGAAATAGCTAAATTTCATTTTTAAGACAACTTATAACTAGATCTAAAGCCTAAATTTTCCCTTTTTAATACTTCATATGTTTCTCTATATATAGTTGGCCAATTACAGATATTGATTGTTAGGCCAAGTGTAGTTACTCATTTTTTGAAATTTCTTGTAATTTATTAAATTTGGTTTTATATATGAAGTGCTTATATGAGCAGTAGTTAAAAGTATTTTTATTTGGATCAGAGGAGCAGGCATTTGTAAAATAACTAATGCCTCTATATATATAGCATTTGCCTAAGGAGACTAAGGAACATTCTGATACTATTATATAAATGGTTTTGGTGCTAGTGTATAGATAAAAAGACTTATAAGTATTTGAATTATTGCTTTTATAGTCTTCTTGGTAATTATATCTTTCCTGATAATTGATTTTTCTAATATTTTAAGTCTTCTAATGTTTATTTTTCTTATGTCTGCCAAAGTCTTTGTTTTTTTAATTAGACTATCTTTTTTTTTAATTATTTATTCTGTGTATTAGGTAAAGCTAAATCAATTTCCTATTCATATCTCTTGGCTACCCATAATGTAAATATCCTAATTGTTATCTTTTCTCAGGTACTGTCCATGTGACTTATTGTATTATTAAGTTTTCTTGATTTTATAGCCAAGTCAAGTTCTTTTCCAATTAGTTGTAGAATGTTATATTCATATTAGTCACAAACCTCTCAAATTTATAACTCAGCCATGTATCATTTATTTTTACTCTTTGATAAGTATCCTGTATTTGAGCAGTAACTGAATTTAATCTAAGATTAAAGTCCAAGATCACATTTTTTTTTTCAAGGTTTTTGAATTCTGTCAATATTTTATATTCTAAAGTTTTATCCTCTTTGTTCTTGTCATCAGAAAGATTGTGTTTATTTGTTTTTCTCAAAGTTTCCTGAATTTTCTCTATTGTTTGATATTGGAAAGTCTGTTCTTTTATATTTTAAATTATTGTTTTTGACATTGAAACTTTTGTTTTATCTCTCGTTTTCTGCACCAATTCTTTTAATGTTTGTAATTAAAGGTTAGTTTCATGGGTCTTATATTCTTTATTTGGATATTCTGATATTATTAAAACATCCTTATTATCATCAAAGATTACTCTTTTTGTTTTTTTATCTCTATAAGATTTCTTTATCTTTTTTTTTTTTAAAAAACGAGTAGATTTCTTTATCTAATTTTTTTTATATAAAAAGTTCTTTATTTTTTATACTAAATCAGTCTTAATTCCTTTTATAGAAATATCAAGATCATAACAGATTTTCTTCAAATCATTTTTTGAAAGGTTTGCATCTAACATAGTTTTTTTTTTTTTGAACTTACAAGATTATAGTCAAATACAAAAGAGCCAGATTGTAATTAGGCAGTAAAGAGAACAAGCAACAATACAAATGAAGTAATAAAACACTATTGCTTTGCAATTTTCACCCAAATGCATAAAATTCTAATTTCAGCTATACAAATTAACTGACCTGGGTAATCCTTATGATAATAACTCTAGTATGACTATTATCAACATATAGGATTATATATTTCTTAGCAGAAAATCTATTATATGGACAGTGGTCTTAGGGAACATAGTTGGCTTTAATTTTAATTGAATGATCAAATGAAATGTTACATAATATATTCACTTCTAAAGTAATATTTTAAGTAGATTATAGACCATGAGTATAAATTATAAAAGGTTAAGACCAAAAAAAAATTTAAAATAGAGACTTCATTTTATATATTATTAAAATAATTTGGTAATCTACAAAGTAGTTAAATGAGAGGTATGTTTAAATAGTTATGTTTAGCCAACATAAAATAGGTCGGCTGAACTATAGTTCAGCATGTACTAATGCATGCAATAGTCACAATGTGATATCATCAGATTGGTAATATGCTGTGGAACGTAGTGCTTCGATAAATGCTTCCCAGAGTCTGTTTTTGTCTACTTTGCGCCAAATAAATTCGAATAAGTGTGATTCAATCAAGTCTTTATTTTGATTTCGTGGTGCAATCTGTAACTTGATGCCATTCCACAATCCTTCTATAGTATTCGTATATGCACCTGTTTTGGAATCCACAAAATTTTCTGAATGGTTAACTGTTTTATGTTTGAATCCTAGTTCATCGATATTCAGATAACCTTTCCAAC